ATTCTACCTACCATGGCCACAGTTCTTCCATTCAAAGAGGCCTTGACAAAGAGCAATTAAAACTAGAAATATCAACGCTTGATACCAGTTAGCCATCTTGCTGCTCGTTCCTGGACAAGTGAATTAATGGTTGCTGGTGTAGGTGCTGTTGGTTTTTGAAGCAGGCGATCGTGACTGGTCTAATGTTTACCATCTATTGTTTYCTTTGTTAAGTTTTTAAAACAATGCAGTAACAGCAAACATATGTGTAAACAAAAACAGTAAAAAGAAGTGTTTTTGCTTTTATTCTTATWACAATTGTACAGTTTTTTCAATACACTTTGCCACGAACCTCATATCACCACGTGACATTTGACACTTTCATGTATTTTATTATTAAGCCTATACTAAGCAACATCAGACGGAAAAAATGACTTTTTGCAAAGATTTTAAAAAAGAAGTAAAACATTAGACTGTTAAAYATTAAGACTATTCACATTTTTTTTCTTTGATCAAGTGACTCTTTGAAAAAGTTTGCATAAATTAACTGAGACCCTTAAAGTCATGACCATCTTTAGTCATTTTTGAACGGAAGAAAAGATTAAGACAATTATCAGTAAACTGCTGGATGTCCCAGCTATTCATATACTGTCAGTACAATGTTTGATGTTTGTTCAAACTTTGAAGACAGTTGAATCTACCAAACCTAATGCAGAACAATAGATGGTTKCTGTACAGACAGTGASCGTTGATACTGCGACTTTCAGCTTTTTATGCCTGTTGATAAAGCCGCAGCCTCAAATATGTGCATAACACTTAGCTGGGTGATTGATTTGCGACCAGGCCTGCATATGAATTCGCCAAAGTTGTAAGCCAGTGAGCCCGTGCATTTTTGTTAAGCGGTCATATTTGAAAGTGTAAATAAAGAAAGGAAAAACCCGCATCTCGCCTTTCACTCAGATAAACAGTACAAGTCGTGTTAAATATATTTACATAACTAAACAAAATGATTATAGAATTAAACCTTTAAGAATTGAATGCTCATATGAAACATTTTCCACCTTAAATACACACGTGTTTTTCAGAAGGGAATTTAGTCGAACTTTATTCACGATGGAATTTTGTTTTGAGTCGTCTCGACATAAACAGTCGCTATCAAGACATTACACGAAAAACCCCAATCACCGTTCTAGCTCTCGTTGTACAGAGCTAGTAAATGTGTAACTGGCCTGTTACATAACGGCAAATCGTCGAGCACGCTTGCGGCTTATTGCCGAAAATGCGACAAAGAATGAACTACTACCGTTGTTTGTACCAAAAATAACAAACGCTATTGGAATACGTGGACCTAAGCTGCTCTAGCTCTTCCATTGATGTTGGACATGTTGTAGATACCTCAAAGCTTAGAGGAAACAAAAGCTAAGAAAAATGATTTGCAATGGTTCCTCCTAAGATACATTGGACTTGAACGTTGCTTCAACGACCTTCTGAAGTCTTCGTGAAGTCGGTCATTGCTTCGCATGCAATGGAGAACCCGCGTAGAACACAGAACAATTATTTCTATCAGGGAGGGGAGTCTCGTGGTATTAAAGAAAAAGTTATTTGTTTTTTCATTTTTAAGATAAAATTCTATTTCTATAACGATAAATATTTGATTGACATTTAAAAGCTATTTTATAAAGATTTTCAATTTCTCTTTGCGTTTTAGCTTCGATTTTTCGGATAGAATAAAATGACAGGCAGCCTACTCCACTGGGTCGAGTTTTGCTGTGCAAATTCCTCCCGTCGGGGGGTTATGTTTAAAACATAAGCTTGTCAGCTTTGCGCTGATTGGCTAGTCGCATTTTCTCAAATCACCCAGTTACAAAGTCAACATCGGAACAGTTGAGATTGGCGGCGTTTTCTTCATTGCCTRCACTTAAGCCAAGCCTGAGAAACACTTGTGCAAAATAGACAGATCGATAGAAATGTCATCATGATTATCTTAGAAGTCTTGCTTATGGAGCTAGAGTGATTTTTTTCATCGTGAGTTTTTCATACTCATTAATTATTCATGAGGTATTCAGCCAATTGCCCTATAATGACGTCACAGTATGTTTACAGTTTGGGTAGATGCTCAGAAAGACCCGTTAAAACAATAGAATGTTTTGGTGTGATAGGGCAATTCGTGATCGCAATTTTGCACCACGTGAAGTTACTGGAAACAGAGGAAATATATTTCCTTCGCTTTTTTCTCACTTTCTCAAGAGTCTTAAAAGTGGCTCCAGTTAATTCATACGTAATTTTAAGGGTCGTTTATAAAAATCGTCCGTCGAACACTTCAACCCCCTTCGGCCTCTCCTKGGTGGAGACCAAAGAAAAGTAATTTCCCTGCAACACAGACGCTCCTGTTGTAAAATATGCTTAAACTTCTAATTAGCATACATGACCAGAAGTGTCCATCTTCGTAATAACCCAGTCATCATCAGATGTCCCGATAATCTATTTTTAGATAACCAATCATAACGCGCGCACATATAACGTAGCCTTTTTGGTCCTTTTTTTATCCTGCCTCAAGAGACAAGAAAACAAAATGTGGTCGATGGAGGTTAACAAAGTGAAGTTTACATTACAAGAATTTTTATACCTTTTTTTGCGGATCAAACTTTTCTGAATTTGATAGAAAACATATCGTTAGAATGAGGTTTGAAAACCCGTGAAATGCATATCACTCTAATACAGCCTGAAATCCTTTTGTATGTATTTCACACTTAAAGTCAAGTTATGTTTCACGCGTTTAATGGCTACTGAATTGATACATCAGCTCTATATCTGTTACAAAACTGATAAAGAGTGTGTCTGCAGATGACACTGAGGTAAATTAGGGCCAGGAAAAGTTTCTGGAAGTGTCGATTGGTAATGGTTGCGGTTGATACATGGGTGAAAGTCTCTTTCTGAATGCATGCCTACGGATTTATGCAACAGCAAAACTGTTGACCAGATATGCTCTAGCACCCAAGTGACTAGATGATCGGTTTTTGTCGGTTTGAATTCTAAAAATAGTTGATGATAAGAAAATTTGACTTCCTTGCAGACGACACCATTAGTGAGCGTGCATCTATCGGGGAAATATATAGAGCAGGATGGATTTCAAGTGATCTGATCGGCCAATCACATCGCGCGTACTATTATAGCTATATTATAATATATGATGATTATTCTTTGCCCGGGGAGGAGAGAGACGGGGGATGTCAAACTTCCTTGTAGTGAAGTCGTACTAGTAGCTCCTGAAACTCCGCTGTTTGTGCGCATTTTAAAATCTTTGTGATACCAGTAACATTCTTACTTTAGAAGCTCAGTTGGTTAATCTACATTTATTGCAGCTGCATGTTGATAATAATGTGAATGCATCACTTGTCTGTCAAAAAACAATAATAATCCGTCTTATATAGTTTAATCACTTTCAGGACCCATTCTATTCGGCTTGTATTCTTAGACTTCGCTTCTTTTTATCCGAGTTGACATCGAMTTCAAGTTGAAGTTTGATGCAGCCCAAAGGTCTTTCATACACGTCCATGAACTCAGCCTTAATCCGATACTGACCCTACAGAGACATCAATGAATATATACATCAAAAAAGATATGCAGACATTTTAAATACAAAATSTTTCTTAGTATTTGCTGCTGTGTCTCCGTGGATGTTGAATGTTGATAGATAATTAAGTAAGTGGGATGGGTCTTTTCTCGTGTTCTCCCAACCATCCCGCGCGGTTTATTTCGCGAGTAAACCGCTTCAAGCTATCGTTTATTGCTTTTATATTACAGCCAGCGTCCGCCATTTAGCCTCAAACGTCTTTCAAGACAGCAGACTGGTTTCGGGGCGAAATAACTAACATAGATTTTACCATGAAATCCGCCAATCAGCGCGCGTGTTGAGCTACAATATAAATATGTATACTTTCAAAAACACATTTTTCTTCCCCGACTTTCCCTTTCTTTGGGTTTCCTGTGTTACAATAAAAACACGAACGAGAGTTGAACAGGGGAACAAAGGATTTTCAACAATTCTTTCTACAGGGAGCCCAAAGAGAGAAAAAGTGAATAGCAGCATACGGAGGGCATTTCTTCACATGAATTGTAAATATCAAGTAATACTGTAAAGATACTTACACTAACGATTGAATCCCAAACTGGTATTTTGTCGACCTGATCTTTCGTCACGACGATGGACTGGGTCGGGACGGTAAACAAGCCAGTAGGAATGGGACAGTCACATGGAATTCCTTTGTTCTGCATGTCACGGTCACACTTGTTGAGCATCACTCCACGGAGAATGTCACAGAAGTTATCATATGTACTGCAATAAATATCAATTATCAATCCCGGGTTATCAATATATAACTGACAAAATGATGAATGATRAGGTTCTTATGCGCAGATCGTGTGTTAAGAGGTTAGCATAATTAAACCAGGGTTTAGAGAAGATTCCTGGGAACTCAAGCAATGCCAAGTTAACGGAACCTCGCTTGGTATTGCCACCATGGAAAACGTTGAATGGGCATCAGTCACCATAGCGGTATGTTTCAGGAATTAAACATTACAAATTTTGCGCTMTATACTGGCTTTTTGCCACACATTCATGAAGATCCCAGGCTTCGGCTTTTGATCATAGATGTGGGATCAGAAGCTCATAATTATCAGGAAAAAAAAACAAAATACAATTTAAGGATCAGAATTTTTGAAAAGGACCAGATCGAGAGGATATATCCTACTAAAGACGCTTTCCTTAGCATCTCATGTCAGCATGCAGAAAGAGTGCAGAAAGGAAGAGAGTTGCTTTGTGACTAGCGGGGTACAACATTTTATGTGTAATTTGTACTCTATTAAAGTAATCGGAATTGTAATTTGTGTAATCTTTATAAGTAGATTAAACACATTCGTTTATGTTGTTTATTGCAGAATAAGGACCTATCAGTCGTATGTGGTCGCTTGCGGGAGAGGAAAAACAATGAAAAATTCTACAATTTCAAACCCAAAGGTGGTCGTGGTCGCCTACGAGAGAGTATYTTTTACAGAGTCTATATGTGAAACAAAAAGGGAAATTTAAAAGGTGGTCGCTTGCTTACCAAGACCCATAGTTAGAAACACATGGTATTGGTGTCCATATTCCAAGAACTTTGGCATGGATATCAAGCTTTAGTTTGGTCGATCCATCAAGATGTCTGCTGACCAGCAATGCAACAGAAGCATTGATCCGACCGGGAAGGATGATGGGGCTTGGTGATAGCTTGAGAAATTTCAGGGAAATCGTATCCTCTACTTGTTCTAAAACAAAATTAAAGGTATATTTGGAGGGTATGGCAATAGAGAGGGTACATTTATTCAGTTATTCAGAAAAGTTTTTGTGCTTCGTTCATCGTAACACAAACAGGGGCATTGACATATCGCCATTCGTAAAATCAGTGTATGTTAGTGTATATCTCAAATCGCAGTTTTTGCACATTTATATAAGAAATTATCTGAACTTTTGCAACTAGATTAAAAAGCCATTAGCTTATTTATTCCTCCTCTGTCGTCCGCTTCAGTTTTGATGATCGGTGACCGTATTGTGACGTCGTTGCCGTCTTGCTTCAGCTCTTTTAGCAAGGGTTTCTTCTGCTAGTACGCTGTGATCAAACCCAATATCTATCTTGCATGTTCATAGCAATCGGCTCCAATAACCTGAATAACCTATATTTATTTATTATTTATTATAATAGCTCCTTTGTGACCCGTTGGTAAATAAAATACTTACTTACTTAATGACAATGAATAGGAAAAAACAAGATGATGTCAATTGTGACATCAATAAATATCAATAAATAAATGAAAATAGGAAGAGACAAACCTAATATAGTCTAATTAATATAGGTTATTGGAGCCGATTACTATGAACGTGCAAGATAGATATTGGGTTTGATCACATTTTTAATTATTTTCCCGAACAATGAGCCGACTTAGACGACACAACTTTTGCTTACAAAACATCGCATGCAATCTTCGTAATAAGGACATGGAAGCTCCTACTTAATGGCCTCCTGGTTCTTGTTCTTGTAATTCAATGCCAAATTTCATTATTACGGCTTATGTCACCCTCATTTTAGGAAAAAAAGTACTACTAAAATGTAACATCGTAAAACAAAACCTCTTTTTGCAGGCAAAAATACATATATTACCTTTATGACACACGTATTCGATATGCAAATCCGAATTCAACCCGAACGTGCACGATGTTGACCCGAGTACTTCCGATGTTGGCGATATCGTACATGTCATCTTGTCTTGACAAAGAAACCTGACTTTAGCCTTTGAACCAAATGCTCCGCAGTTTTGACCAAACCAAGAGCTGTCACAAGTGGACTGGTGCCCATGTCCATGACCAAAGAATGCTTTGAGGATTGAAATCTTGTACCCAGGCCTACACGACAAGACTACGGGGTTCCCGTCTTCACAGCCATGTGCGCGGAGAACCTTTGTTCGGTTTTCAGCGGTCGATTTAACTATAGAACAAAGAGTCAACAATTTAAAGATGTAATATTCTATCTAGCTTTCTTTCCTTTTTTTTTTTTTTTTGCGTTTCTTTCTATTTGGATGCAAAAAGCGCTCACATTATACATCTCTATTCGGGGTAGCCTTCGAGCATTTCTAACCCGTATTCCCAATATTACCAGATACAAATATTTCCGCCGGAAATCTTCGCGTCGCGAAGGATAAGAGTGAGTATCTTTTGAACAGATGAATACAACAATTTCAATAGATTTGCTTCATTGAACCGCAGAATTGCTTGGATTAGATCACTAGTTCAACGAGTTTTAACCATCTTCTCTCATGAGACAAAATCAAAATCAAATGTTTCTGCATTTGAAAAGGCTTTYCCAACAACTATCTCATCGTCAAATTGAAAGCACMTTTCACTGTTCATTAATCGTATTTACACCTAATTGAAGAAACGTTGTCGGGTCCAAAAAGGTCAAAATCATGAAGCTAAGACCGAAAGGGTACTTGTGAAGACAAACAATTTTCCTAAAATAGCGCAACGGAGCCTAAACAGTGATATAATGTTCAATTCATTTATGTCCAAACAATAAACCCTCGCCTTAGCCAGAGGAAAATGTTAACTGAGGCACTTTACGCGACCGGCGTAAGCGGTCGTATCTAGGGGGTTCGCGGGCATGCTTCCCCGAAACATTTTGAAATTCAGACACTTGGAAACGTGATTTCCAGCGTTTTGCCAAGCATATTGTGACTTTTTATCTTACACCATTGATCGAACTTTTTTACTTTGGATACGAATTAAATTTTACCGAGGCTGTAAAAAGATCAAGCACGTATTCGATGCAGAATTTTGGAAATGCATTTCTCCTAATAGAAAATCACTAAATACCATTATATGCTATTACGCAAATAAATGTTCAAACCATACACGGTATTGAMCGATGGAGTGCTTTTACTTATTATATACTCGAAAACACTAATTAACCTTCCATCGCTCTCCTAAGTTCGCGTACTCTTGTTCCTGTTCCAGAGGCTTGTCTTTCTTTTTTTTTTGCTTACTTTGTTGTCAAACCGCGAAGCAGCGAGAAGTTTGCGTTAATCGGTTCAGAAATTACAGCAGATTGAAGCAAAATTGTAATAAAATTTTAAGTTAAAGAAACTTATTAACTAAATATAGCATCAATGTATGATTTAATTGTGATTCTTTAAATCAGTGATTTTATTTTTTCATTCATTGTAGATTTAAGTCAGTTATTTTTAGTAATATAATAATAATAATTTATAATATATAAAATCGATTTGTTACAGTTAAATAATTTTCATCTTTTGTAACTGGTATAAAAAAATTTAAATGAAAATATTACAATATGTAAAAAGGTGTCTATATTTCATAAGCACTTTTCAAAGGCTTCTATTCTAAAATATTACAAATTATTATTTTATAAATTACAAAGTATATATAATGTAACAATGATAATGTCGAATGAAATTGATTGATTGATTGATTAATAGCAACCATAAGCAATTACAACACCTGGGATTTTTCATTGTAACAAAGAGGCGTTGTTTATCAAGAACAGCAATCCGTCATTGAATACAGTCCGTCATGCATTTGGACCTTTCTGTAATAAATGCAATTGTACGTTGTATGCAACCTKCCTGATGATGGTTTTGGAATAAATTCAAAATATAGCAACTTATAATTCACCTTCTTTTCATTTCCAAAGCTAAATATCAGTAAAGAAAATGAAAATCTTGAATATCTTTCCTCTTCAAGCAATTTTAGTCAATCAATGAGCCATGATTCATATGCTACAGGTGGTCATTCCCAAATCATTTTGAATTTCATTAATCGAGGCGAAAGTGTTCCCATACTCTTCACAAAAAGTAGGTGGCGAGTTTTGGATCATTARATACTGACTAGGGTTTTGAATTTTGCAACCACCCCATATCTTTTACAACATGACCAGATTGTCAGCAAGTATCCGTTTGAACGGACGACTTGCAACGTTACAAAATAAGTAGYTCCAGTTAATGATTCTAATAACAGTAACTAATCTCTTTGATATAAGCAAAATTTTGTGATAATTATGAAAATTTAAAATTCTTGCAAATTTGATAACAAGGGATATAGACCTAAGATCAATAAAATAAACCACTAAATTTTTACTTTATACGCAAGATTGTATAAAACCTTTTTGTACGTTTCGCGATTTGGCGGTTATTTCACGCACGACAACCATTTGTTTGCGATCGACATTTGAATTTACAAAAAGCGCTCACTTATAATAAACTGGCTAATTATGAAACAAGCATAGTTTAATTAACTTACCACAATTTTCCCATTCAAAATAACCATGGCRAAAAGCTGTTAATCCAAGAAACACCAACGCTTGGTACCAATGGGCCATCGTGTTGCTCGTTACTGTACGACGGTTAGAAGCAAATGAATGCCGTTCGAGTGGTCGTTGTGTTTTCAACCATGACTGATGTTTATTTTCCATTGTCTTCCTTTGTTTCTTCTCAGCCATGCAGAATCAACAACAAACCGTCAAAAAGACAAAGGTTTTTTACCCGTTATGTCGAATAAGGAGTACCTGGATTACGGATCCTGGGTTCGATAATTACAAGACTATTCTACCAAAACAACGCTCAAGAACTAAGACGTCATTGATGTGTTCTCTATCTTAAGAAAAATATGATTTACACAGTTTAGCAGTTCAAACACTATCACTTTGTTCTATCAAATTAAAACGAGTTTTAACGTGTTTTAGTCTCTTGCCTCCACAGTTCAGAATCCATATTTCTAGTCGATTGCAGTGAAAATGAATATCATCGATTCTATGGTATTGACATTTTTCAGCTTTCTTTTTAATATTTCTTAATAATTATGAATCGTGACACTTGAAAAAAAACTACTTAACGGATCTTTTCAGTAAATATAAACACAATATTTCATATAAGAATTATATTTTGCTTATAGTTTGATGTTTTATTAGGCCGGGGACATTGTATTCATCAAACTGCCGTATGTCTTCAGCTATAAATGTACTGCTTAAGGGTTGACGGTTGGTCACACCTTCCAGACAGCTGAACATACCAAACCTCAGACAAGGTAAATAAATATTTGAGGCAAAGGAACGTTAACTTGGAAACACATAATGACGTGCGGGAATAAGTATGCAAAATTACTAYATAATAGTTTTTATTGCTCAATATTATGAAATAAAGCGCAAAATCAAGTTTTACAAACTATAAATTAACTATATATTAGCTTCAAAACTAATAAGATAATTATACAATTTCTTTCATAGTCTTTTAAAAAAGCACTCATTTTCCTGGGTAAGATACTCTCTTACTAAGAAATTAGTTTTCAAAGACTGTAAGAATTGTTGGTAACTGTGAAGTTAAAAAACCTTTCCTTTTTTTCAACTTTTGAACTAAATGTTTTGCAATTGTTCTATTAATTTTGTTCATTTGTTCTTATTTTTCCTCTAGCGGGATCAGTAGATGTTCATTATTGATATGCAAATTACCCTACAGCACTATGACGTCATAACTCGTCTACAAAGGGAAACCACAATCTAAACAAAAGAAATTTAGACTGAATTATTTTTGTTCAAAGAGTTGGAAGTCAAAAGTCTATTTTTCACATTTTTATCTGATTGTCTGTCTATTTATTTYGTTGTGTTTGCTTTTTCATGTTCTCTATTATCGCGTTTTTCTTTGCCTAGTTCTAACCATGTTCTGTCCCCAACACCAAAAACCCAACCCCAACCCCCTTTCGACAATGGTCCTTAGCACTATAAAAAGAGAATGATGTGACGTCATTGTGCTATAAGCCAATTATATTCGCTGTCTGGAACCACTATTTCTTTTCTTTTAACTGGTCCTGATCGGGTTGTCCTCTTGGATGATCAAATGCAAACAGCTTGTTCTTCCTCCAGAGAATAACAAGAACAACAATGATGACAGACAAGAGTACAATAGGAATAACTACTGCCATCGCTATAATAGGGACGCTCACTGATGGTTCGGCAGGTGGAGCTACGGAAGAATAAATTAAATACTATTCACAAGAAGTTTGGTAAATCAACCATGAATAATTTTAACAATTTATTCCCAGCTTTCGACCTAAGCGGTCATCTTCAGGAAACACAAAGACAAAAACGCATTTAAACTGAAATCAAACTGTTTTGCGCGCGCTGTTACAAATGAAATGCAAGAAAGATAAGAATAATAATTAATTATTGCCCAAGTATAAAAATTGTTAAAATATTCATGGTTGATTTGCCAAACTACTTGTAAGTATGAAAAATACAACCAACAAAAATAGCCGACTTTAGATATTTTGGTTCAATGACTATGTACAAAAGAACGCACACGAGGCTCCGGGGAAACAATGGATAATCTTGATTTATTCTTTTATTTCCCCGGGGCCTCGTCCGCAATTCTTTTGTGCATGGTCACTGAACCAAAATATCTAAAGTCGTCTATTAAACTGTTTTACCATGTTAAGTTAGAATAGTTGCTGTTATTCATAAATTGTTCGTCTTTTCTTGCTTATTATTTTGTTTGACCTAAGAATGGCATTATGATCGACTATAACAGACCCCTTAAAATTTTCAGTTAGCACTACAGAAGCTTTAGAACTTGTCTCATTTGTGAACAGAACGAACTGTTTTCATTTTCCTAAAGTTGATCGCTCACGTGAAAACGTAGTGTTATTCTAAATGACTGAATCAATTCCTTTAGTGCACAAACCTCTATCGTGGAAATAGTCGGCCCATGCTTTTGGCGATGGCCATGTGGTATACTTGCAAAATCCATGCGCAGTAGTGCCCTCCGCCATCCTCTCGCACGCCATGAAATACCTTCCACCACGTGTATTGAAGATCTCGGGACAATCTCTGCCAACAGACTTACAAACTGATTGACATACGGAGTAATAGGCTTTACCCTCCTCTGGGAAGCAAGGCGGTACGATACGACCACAAAAGAACTTATGGATGCTCTTTGCGCATTTGGTGTGGTTCTTCATAGTGGTTCGTACTCGAACGATGTGGGATGTCGGGCCTGGCGTTTCAGGGTCGCTTTCGTTGTACTCCTTTTTATAAAAGATCTTATAGACCTTCTTCTGATKTTGGGGCTCAATAATGGTGTACTTATAACCCAGTTCCCTGCAGAAAGGGAAATAGTCGAGATCATAACAACCATGCTCTAACGGACCTGTAAAATAATATGGTATAACATCACCAATAATAACTTGATACCCGATGATCTGTTACTTTTAGAATGGTGCACATTCTCTTAATTTTCTTTTCGCATATCAACCATTAGTTAACTGGTCTATATTTTTTGTTGTTTTGTTGCAATCAATTTGTTGATTTATATTGAGTTGAATCTTACCCTGTAATCCCAAAAGTTAAAAACCTTATGTTCTTGGGTTAGTCTCAATTTGCAGACAATGTAAATGTCCAAGACTAGCTATTGCTATTTCCCCGTGTTTACTTTTGTTTAGTGGTAAAAGAAAATCTCGGTAAACACCATTATCTTGAATCAACACCAATTCTCAAGAGGCTTCAAGGACAGAGAAAATGGCTCGTTAGAATGCTTCTGTTATTTATTTATTTACTTACTTAGCGCTCTTTAACATTAAAAAGATCAAAAAATAATCCTAAGTGTTGTTTCCAAGCACTGCCGTAGGTCCTCGGGGAGAACCCAGACCGACACAATATAGCGTGAAGAAGACCAAATTAATCAAGTAAATACGGWTCTGCACCTGTTTGCTCTATTTTTTTCTGCGTTTTATTAGGCTATTTACTCCAATATTGAAGCTGGTGGACAAATATCATTAAGTTATGTATTATTTGACGATCTACAATTGTAGTCTGAGACCCATTTTTAGTTCAATAGCAGACAGAACTAGAAATTAAGTTATCAAACATCTAAATAAGACATTATTATCTTTAAAATACCTATAATTTCTCTCTTTTGAAAAGTTGTTATTTTCACTAGTGAAAAAAACACATTTGGTTGCTCTATATAGCGTAAGTACAATGTATTTTTCGACTAACTGCTTTCATATATAATTATATGATAAACAGAATATAAGGTGGTCGCTTGGAGATACGAATTTTATCTTCTCGTGTTGAAAATCTTCGCTACGTTCACTCGTGAGAGATCTTTTCAAAAACTCGAAGATACAATCCGTATCTCTTCGCGCCCATGCAATATCCTCTATATATCTGAATGGGACTCGATCTGAAAAACAAATAAAGCAGCGTTCATCTGAAAGAAAATTCAATCAGTCCTCAGCTCTTAATTAATCTACTGACGTAGCTACTACCCTTTGTAGCGTTCTGGATCAACCACTGATCAGTCCAACATGAATTCAGCAATGTCGTCTATTCATGATGTCTTGAGAAAACATGAAAAGCTTCGAGTCAAAATTTTTTTGAAGGCAGTTCTAAAATCTCTGTTTAATCCCGCGTAAACAAAGACGTTAACACAGCTATTGGCATAAATCATGCAAACAGTCACCATGACAACTTCTTGTGACGGCCTGCCCCGTTGCAAGATGTCCATTATATCGATGATAATGATAGGCGAAACGAGCAGAATAAATAGACCAGCAACTACAGTTACAACTCTTACACTTTTAAGTACTCTCAAGTACTCGACGAGACTGCGGGAACTTTGATCAGCAGTTGTAGAGTGAGATCCTTTTCGTGGCATCTGATTGGTGGCAACGGCTATTTTTTGCTGATGGATACGCCTATGTTGTGTACAACTCGCCTTCAGGATAAACCCATAAACCATCATTACGAACGTTAATGGTATTAAATGGATATAAACATACAAAACCAAGATGAACTCTTTTGACAAGTGCAACGGGAAACTGCATAATTGTGCTTGCTGTTTCTGCCAGAACAACGAACTTGCAGACATTATGGACAGTATTCCGACCGTCGTCCAAGCAAACGCAATGGTGAGGTTCACTGAGCGACCAGTGATAAAGTGTACGTACAAATATGGAAAATATATGGACAGAAAACGTTCTATGCTAATGAAGAGTATGGTTAGGTTTGACGTGCCACCAAACATGATGCTGAATGGAATTGAAACTCGACAGCTTAGAAGGCGAGAGTAGTGTGGATATGTTTCAATGATTCTCATAGGTACTGCCACGGCTCCCTGTAGAAAATCCGCCACGGCTAGGCTACATAGCAGTCTGTTCCCCTTCAAAGACCTCAGTCTTGTACTGCTGAAAATTGCTACGATGACAAGAAGATTACCAAACACTGACATGAGCATTGTAAGGTAAAAGAAAACCCTGGTAGCAATGTGAATCRTTGGTTCATCGTTTGCTCGCGACTCATTCTTGATAAATAATCCCCCTGAAGCGTTCATCCAAAGATGCATTCCTCCAAATGGGTAAAAACAATGAACTAAGAAGTATTGAAAATAAGTGGAGTCCACTTTCACTAAACAAATCTGACTAACAGACCAACTGACGTGAAGGACTTTACGCATCACGAGATGCAATATGATTGGAGAGATCTACACCAACAAAATGGACGACCAATTGACAATCTTGGTAACTAGTTAAACATAGTCACTCTAAATTCATCAAGACTAAAACAAAGGATAAAATCACCATTAACTAAGTCATTTTAATAATTCTGTTAGTGATAAAATCGTGGAATCTATATTTTTTCCTGTAGTCACTATTTATTAATATATGTTGTCGGGGATTCATTTCTAATATAGACACCTGTTTTGGCACTGAATAACATTGCAAGCATAAATGAAATATGTAATTAATATTTGGCAAGGAAGAATGAAAGAACCTGTCAAAGGGGATCTGAAATGCTAAAGACTGAGTTGATGCAAATGATTCCCAAAAGGTTTTAAGTACAATAAGGGTAGTTGCGATGGTAGGAAGTTCTCTAGTGACTATACCAACACCCCACTGGGTCCGACCCTGTTTGAACGAAGTAGGGACAAAATAAGTCGAATCTGAATTAGTAGAAAAATCAACTTCTTCAAAATTTTGAGTGAACTATTTTTCTGGTCTACCTTTGATGTTTCCTTCTCTGCTTCAACTCATTTAATAGTCAGCATGACAAAAGTCGATAGCAATAATTATTTCAATGTCATTTCTTATAATAACAATCTTTATTGAATTGTCTGTTGCTGACTGTTATACAAATTTCTAAATATAAAAAAGTGTCATCAGAACAAAAGACTTATCCTTATTAAAAAATACCCTCATTACTTTCAGTYGGTTTTGTTTATTCAGCAGCAATTTTGTTTTTAAGATTTTTTAGTTCCGAGCAAGCAAATAGTCTTGAATTTAATTTTTATATTTACAAAGAAATAATTTCATCAAATAAAATAAATAATAAATAAAATTTATATAGCGCGCTCACAAAAATATTCGATGTCGCTGTTTATAAAATATTGATAAATTATATATGATAATTAAGACTGAAATAAATCATTTTTTTCCGTGCCTTCATAGCTTCATATATAGCTATTTACAAAATATTGATGAATTATATATAATAATTAAGAAATAAATCATTTTTTCCGTGCCTTCATAGCGCTATGAAAACCGAGGCGTTTGTTTGGGAGAATTCGAGAGCAGATCAGTGAAGCACGAAACCGCAGGTCGAGTGCTTCACGTCTGCTCGAAAATTTCCCAAACAAACGCTGCTGAGCTCACTCATAAAATACTGTTTATCCTCTCTCTATATATTTTAAGAGTGTCATTTTTTTCTGAAATCGATATATATATATATATATATATATATATTAGTTTATTAATATAGTTACAGCCTTTTGCAAAAATTATGAGAATTTTTGAAATATCTAAATATCATAATATCAAGTGCATGATCCCGCGCGATGACCTCAGTCCCTTGTCTTTGTTGTTTAGTTTTTTTTTGGCGACAGACTTATCCGTAGTTCCGAACATTTTCTCGATGTCAACAATGAATTATTCTAGCAAACCCGTGTGTTCCGGACAATATATGGATATGGATATTATGATATTTAGATATTTAGACAATTCTCATAATTTTTGCAAAAGGCTGTAAAATTGAATAAATTAAATCTATGTATCATAAATTGTCTTAATGTATGTTATATCGCTCTTATTGAAAGGCCGTTTTTAAAAAAAGTATGTTTTTAGTTCTTTTTTGAATTTTCCTTTATTGTTAATTTCTCTAATATATGCAGGCAAACTGTTCCAGAGCAATGGTYCAGATTGTGAAAAAACAATTTTCATTTGGTTCTGGGAACAACAGCTGTTCCGATTGTTTCAGAGGCGGTAGTGTCTCTCCGGTTTCACACAGATCTTTGAGATACATTGGTACCATATACTATGAAGAGTTTTGAAAACCAAATGATATTCGAAGGTCGAACAACAACAAGTGTTTTTATTGCAAGCACTTCGTACATGATGAGAGCTGTCTTGTTTGATAACTCAGTTCTTCAGCAAAGACTTAACCAAAAACAAAAGATAATATGTTGCTATGACAAGACTGAAGGTTAACATTGTATACACCTAATAATCCCTTTTCGAATTCAAAGCGAAAAACCGCTGCTTTATTTGACAACATATTTCTTGACCAAAGTGCTAACCGAAAACAAAAGAAAGCACGAGAAAATGTCGTTATTACAATAGCCTTGAAAAGTTGAGTTTTCCCCGAGTTGCGACTAACTCTGTATCCCCAAGGTTAACCTAAGGTTTAAGCCTTTTTGGCGAAATTTTTCTGAGGTCGTCTGATCACTGACAATTCTGTGTAAAGTAATTTTACGTCAAAATTTAGCTCCAGTCATTTTTAGTTTTCGCTGTTAGTTGTGGGAAAAAGGGTCCAAAATAACTTTTTCCCGCGACCTTCAGTTCACCGAGGGACTGCGCTGTCCGTGAATATTTATTTATTATTCGTGAATAAAGAGTTGTCGCAAATCGTGGCACGCTTTTCTTGATAAGTTTTCCACTTCAATAAGTATTTGGCCAAAAAGTACAGAATCTGACACCGTTGATTTTTCAATTAAAGTTCTAGTCCCCCCTCCCTACCCCCTCTGGATTCCTGATAAATATTGCGCAGTCCCTAAATATCGAGAGTTTTAGGGAGATGGCATTTAAATTGATGAATATAAGAATCCGTTTATTTTGGTGGTTATGATAAAAACGTTGAATCTTAAAGTGCACATGACATCTTTTAGAAAATCATTTTTATCCGAAAGGTAAAACTCTGACAAGCACTTCTGTAAAGAAAGAAATAGATTTT